TGTAAACCTGGAGGCCTGGATAGATGAGTGTCTTTTGGTTTTACTGCTTTGTCTTGTAAAGTTAAAACCCTTTATAATCCCCACAATGACAGAATGGAGACAGGGCGGGTGTATTTAGAACTTTTTTATTTGTCCCTTTGTTAATCCAAGGCTGACTGAAATGTTTTCAATTTTACACCAACTTCTGGAGCAACAACAGTAAGATGTTAAAGGAAACATAAACCTGGTCAGTGTTGACAAAAAGGAGGAGCTGTTTTTAACAAGCAGTTATCGGCGAGCCTGTGAGGCGCGACCCAAACTGAGGTTTAACCCCAAACCTTTCTTACACCCGGATCCACGCCCGCTCTGTCCTGGACGGGCTTATAGATCCCGACGGTGGCTGAGAAGCCGGCCGTGGTTCAGTGGGACTTTTCCCATCTTTGTGGAGCAGGAAAGCCGAGCATGACCAAGACTTCAACACATGACGTACTGCAACAGAAAGGGGGCGCTGTGTCTCATTTCTACAACATTGTCAGAAGAAGTGCCAAGACAGAGGAGAAGAAACACAAGTGGGAAAACTGTGGCCTGGTGTGTAGTGACCGCTGATCTCTATTTATTCTCTGGATTGCCCGAAAAAAGTGAAGCCACCGTCCGCCATATTGGTACTCCCCACTCCCACGGAGATGGGCAGTAAAAAGGCCTACCTCTGTAGGATTTGACTGCAAAAACAAACAGTGTGCTGGATGTTGGAAGATATTTCACAGGTAATTTAGAGTCAGTTGATTAACTAATTAATTAAATCAATATATATACGACATTAGAAAATAATAAGTAGGGTAAATAGAAAGTCATTCACTGTGAAATCTAAATGTAGTAATTTTTTATTAAGTGGATGATGCTGCAGTTTTCGTAGCATTTGTTGTATTTCTCATTTGAAAAAGCCATGTGCTGAAATATATTGCATGTTATATTGACGAAAAAAAAGCTACTCACATTTTTAAAGGCTAATGCACAGACAAAGCATAAAAGTATATTGCATTATTCATGCACAATTTGCAAATAGTAAAATACTTTAGCATTAACAGACATGTACTTATAATTCAATCTTGATGTAAAATTTTTAAATATGTAATACGTTATAACGACAATAATGTAATCAATACATGTATATTACATCTGTATAATTATGCTAAATTAAGACATTCAATTTGTTGTGATGGATTTTTATAATATGTTATATTACAGGATTTATAGACTTCATAATAACTATGCAATATGATGTGCCTTTTTTTATTATAAGTTAAAGTTAATCTACTGATGTTATGAAACAGCATTTATCTTTATTTTAAAAGTCTCGATTTCCCTTGAAAATGAGATCATCAGGGTTATTCGATGCTGTAGCGCACATATTGTTTACATCAAGACCGGTCTAACTAGGGAGTACCAATATGGCCGCCGGTGGCTTCAATTCAACCCTGTACTACCAACGGGCAATCAGCGATCAGGTGAATAAATAGAGATCAGTGGTAATGACACATAAGTGCTTCAAGAAACGTTTTTTTTTTTCTTTTTCGGGGTTAACATCTTAAATAATCAATCGAGGAGAAACGGATGAAATCCTTTAGAAAGCAGCTTCTGATTTTGCTGCTTTGTTACAAAAATATTGTTTTTCTTCCAACATCTGAAGCAGTTTCCTCCACAGCCGTGATCCTTCAGTGATGAGTCGGGTCACGGAGAAAGGCAGCAGAAATGGTGGTGCTAAGCTAACGTCTGTTTTCACACCAGAAGGCACAGAGTCTGGACATTTGAGGAATAAAAAACAGTCTTTACACTGCATAAAAAACAAGGAAATACACATAAAAATGTACAAATGAGCTGTTCAGCTACAGAAAGTGCAGCTTTGAGCTGAAGGGAAAAGGACACTTAGACAGAAGCATGTCTGATGGCGTTCCTCCTTCAGCTGTAGGGAGGTTTTACTCTCAACCTTCGCAAGTGCAACATCTTCTGAGTGAACAGCCAAATAAAGTGAAATCTTTCTAAAGTGATAACAATAAAAACAATAAAAGTTAAAAACAAAACTCTGACACTATGGTAAAATACGATCACTAATATCCAAAAGGCAAAAAAAGAAGTTGTATTGCAACGATCTTCTGTGGCATCACTACAGAAAGCATCAATCTTCATCATCGATCAGCGTTTTCTAAACATCATCATCATCATCATGGTCTGAGGCGGGATGATTGACAGCCGCTCAGCTCAGGCAGGCACACGGACAAAACAAACGGACCCCACTGGGTCGGCCATTAGCAGACAGGGACTCCTTGGAGAGGAGCTCTGTGATTGGACAGAGGGCATCATGGGAACAGGAAGAGCTCATTGAGACATGAGGAGGAGGAGGAGGAGGAGGAAGGCCACTCTGTAGTGGGATCCTGGGGGACCAGCTGTCTGGGCCCAAACCAGACGGCTGGTCCCCCGGGATTTTTCCCTGGCTAACCCCCCCACCCCCCAGAATGTCTGTAGAAAATGAAAATGAATTGACGTCTACTCTTCCTCCTCCTCCTCCTCGTCTGTTTTCTGGGCCAGTGCAGCTTTTTTCTAAACCTTTATTCTGTGAATCATCTTATCATCCATGTTTTCATGGTTCCCAGCAGCCTTTTCTCTTTGCCTTTAATTTGAGCAGGTAAATCAGCAGGAGAATACTGTCCCTTTAAGAACATCAAACAGCTCTTAAACATGAATTATCTTTTTGATTCATCGTCTTATTTACCTGCCGAAACCGAGGAAAATGCATTTACAGTAGCAGCCATTCAACATTTCTCCACTTTCCTTAAAGGTCCTTGGCTGGTCCCTTCAATTCCTTTTTAAACATCAATATTTGTACTAAAATATTCTTTCTGTCATGATTTGTGGACAATAAAGGAATAGTACACCCAAAACATGATTTTCCTTCATTTTCTACTCACCCCCATGCTGAACAACACTCTGGAGTACTTTTTTGATATCTCAAATGCATCTGGAGATCTGGGAGGCTTCTTGCTGTCTGCTGACATTCAAATAATGGAGGTCTATGGCGCCCGAGGCAGAAAGGTCCATAAAAGTCCACAAAAAACGTGTCAATATTCCTCCATACTGCTCGTCCAATGTATTCCAAGTGTCCTGAGTGGGTAGCGTCCAGAATTTACTCGAAACGAAGTCATTTAGAATGTTTTTAGAGCATAAACAGTAGTGTATAGGATTTCCTAAAAGCGAGTTCACGACTCTACGGAAACCGCGGCAGACCAAACCAGATGAAAGTGCGCATTCAGCTCGGCAAAGAACTCATGCTCTTCCTCAACACTGAAGTCCTCAGACATTTTTCTTTCGTTGTTTCTTTCTTTGCACAGGTAAACAGCACATTTCTTCTTCTACGCTTGCATTATCGGCAGAGCAGACGCTGAATGCGCACTTTCATCTGGTTTGGTCTGCCGCGGTTTCCGTAGACTCGTGAACTCGCTTTTAGGAAATCCTATCCTATATATATGGGTGTACTATTCCTTTAAGATCTAAAGAGAAGCGCCATCTCCTGGTCAGACTCTGTAATTCAGTGAAAGGGTGGAGTCAGAGTAAAGAAATATGCAAGAGGGGGGTCACTCCCGTGGCTTTTCAAACTGATTAATAGATCTATGATCCAGATGTTCTCCAGTAACTTCTTGGGGAAGGCTTTGGATCATATTCTATCCTGATTACTTTGTTCCTCTTTAAGAGCTCGACTTTAAACCATCTAAATATGACTTTGGTTTCTTTGCTTTGGGGTTTCCTGTTTCATTGCTTTAAAAACAGGAGGCGGATTGATTCTGATCAGGATTTGTTGTCTTTGGACGCTTTGCTGAGATTAGCTTAGATTAACAGCTGGAGGTCAGATTCACTGCTGGGGGGGGCAGGATGGTTTGTTTCTAGATGAAGAATCATCTTTGGCTTAACCCTTTATAGGACAAGTTACCGTGTTTGATCACTTACAAATGGAGTCCCTCAGTGAGGTCTAGAAGCACAAGATCTATATCCAGCCAATCAGCAAACATACTGCTACATGGCTGCACATCTTATTTTGGCATTTGACCAATTAGATGAGCCCTTGAATGATAGATTACCTGCTGGAAATTAAGTTGAAAAAAAAAGTTAATAAGTTAAGATAAAAAAAATGGTACAAAGCTAAATAAAAAACAGTTAATAAGCCTAGTTAACAATTATATTTAGGTTTATAAACTAAAAAATGTAAGTGCCAGTCTCAGCATTAATGCCTCGTAGGTTATGTTGTACCAAAAAAAAAGTTTTTTTCACTCTTAGAGAGTTTTGCGTGAATTTCTTATAGAAGCACTTTTGTTATTTTTCTTGATATAATCGTGCAAGTTGGCATTTCTTGTTATTCCATTGCCGTTAATTTTTGCCATGAAAATATCCATATTTTTTTAATGTTACAAAGGTAATAGGGTCATGAAATTTATATTTTTTAAAGTATTTCACGGAGTGCCCTATAGAGGGTTAAGGGATGGATCCCAGCTTTTAAATGATGATGAAGAGTTAAGAACCTTCAGCAGGTTTCACCATCCACCGAAAAGTGTATTTTCTCCATCTGAACATAAAAGAAAACCTTCTAAAAAGGTGTTTCTCCTGAAAAACTTTTACTTTAGTGATTAAAGAACTGAAGCTTCTGAACCAGAGCTTCTAGAACCCAGCTGTTTCCAGATGTTTCCATCTCTCTCTGACCTCCAGGAGGAACCAAAGTGGACTCTTCAGGACGCTAGCATACATCTGAACGATCCCGATCTGGTGTGATGTCAGAATTGCGTTTATCTCTTTAGTTTTGTATGAAAAATATACTTTACACTACCTCAACCGGCGTG